ATTTCATCGACAATTGGTAAAGAGTCCAGATCCATATGCTCTGAATCCTGAGTCGTCTTGGTTGCTGCTTGGACCAACAAACCTTCGGTCTCATCTAACTTCCTGGCTGCTGCTTCTTCCTCAGTATCTGCACTAGATTTAGGATCTGTCTCTGACTCACTACCTTCGCATTTTATAGGATGTTGATGAAATGACAGTGCTGGGAGTGGCTCTGGCTTTAAATGAGCCTCTACAGAAGATATATCTTGCATATTGACTGTAGAAACAAAGCTTGGCGAAGGAGAATTCTTCACATCTGCAAAATAAGTCTTGGAGATAATATTTCCTATAGCAATAGTAGGGCTAGGTATATCGATCGAAGCTAGTTCTGTAAGTTCTGCCTGTTCATATGATTCCTGTATCGGGTCCGGTGTTTGAGGATCTGAACTGGGAGTCGAATTCGACGTTGGAATAAGGCCCACTCCTTCAGCGCCGACTTGGATGGGTGATGGTACCGACCGGACATCCCTCACACAGACGCCGACTGGCTCGGTTCGCGCCTGAACAGCAGCAAGACGAGCGGCAAGCCGTCGTGAGCGCTGAGTCTCGGGTGTTTTTGTGACATCTGGTAAAGGAGTAGAAGATTTGAGAGACTGGGGCTTTTGATTAGAAGCTAGGTAGCCTTCACTCTCACCTACATCAACGACAGAGGCCAAAGTTGGGAAATTAAGGTCAAGTCGGAGTTTGACATCTCGGCGACGTTTAAACCGAGCTCCACCTCGACCAGTGTTATAGTTATTGCTTGAGACAGTTGCAACTTCTTGGAGCTGTCCAATGGGAATGCAAGGGACTTTTTCGCCAGGATCTATTATACGAAAGTAATAGAACACTGAATAAACCGGAAAGCTTCTATATTAAATGAGCCAATATCTACTATACAACAGCATTAACGATAAGAGCCACATAATCATAATTGTAAATATTTCGATTGACAAAAAAATAAGTGAAGTCAAAACATGAATATAAGAATTCTTTCCTAAAATAAACGATATAAAGAATGGAGGAACGCAACTTGTACTGAGCCCATTGTATATCTAATCATTTCCAAAATCGGACCTTGGACGTGGTGCATTCCAAGATGTTCCACCGGCATCGT